GCCCTGTAGCGTTTGTTTTAAAGATGAAATGCAGCCATATGTACCTCTGGCTACATAATTTGAGATCTCCAGAAATATATATATAGGGCTATGTTTTCAGAATGAACCTATATTGCAATATTATGAACTGTCATCATGGCAAAGATCAGAATCTTTGAATCAGAATCAGCTATTAGAAATGAGTTATTAAAGCTATTATGTTTACAAATGTGTTGAATAATTTGGGGGGAAAATATACAGGGTAACAGCTAATAACTCTGACATCAACTGTATATCACCCACACACGGCTCTAGCAGCATCCCACAAGAGCACACGCATGTGGCTCCATTATTAAAAGCTGTTCCTGCTGGTATCTCTGGTTGGTGTAAACTGAGATTGTGTCCTCATCATGAGTCTTGCGACTGGATATAACCGGTAACAGTACCTGAGGGCGATGGCGATGATTTCAGCAATTACCGCAGCTTACAGAGAGAATAACTCTGCTGTTTTTCGCCATTAGCCATGATGAAGCCGCGGCGCTAATGTTACCAGGCTAATCATCACTGTAGCAAAACAACATTCATCGCCATTCCCACGAGTCCATACGGCTAGTGCAGGGCTCCTGGAGGAACACGCTAGTGCTAGTTAATGCTGTTTGCCAACACTAATATGACCATTACTTTTGCCTGCACTTTGACAAGTCTAATCCCATAGACTTTCATTAAAGGCTATATCTACAGTCTACAGCATCAGAGAGACTGAACGCTGCTCTCTATTGACATTATCCTCCGAAAGAGAAAGAAAAAGCCTTGGAAAGAACATTATATATTAATATATTTAATATTAATAGGCATAATTATAATCAATACCCAGCAAGTTAAAATCTGTATTAAAATGTATTTTAATACGGTTTTACAATTTTTTTTATAAATAAACTAAAATAAAAAAAGATTAATAAAAATTATTATTATGATAGTTATCATCATAATCATTATTATTATAATTATTACTATTATTATTATTATTATTATATTGTGTTTACATATTAAAATAACATTTTATAATACAATAGCAAGAATACTATTACAATACATAAAACATAATAAATGTTGTTATTACTACTACTACTACTACTACTACTACTACTACTACTACTACTAATAATAATAATAATAATAATAATAATAATATTATTATTATTATTATTAATAATAATAATAAATATAATTATATTATTTGTTATTATTGTTGTTGTTGTTGTTGTGATAATGATGATGATGATGATGATGATGATGATGATGATGATGATGATAATTATTAATATCACAATATTCATCATCATTATTATTATTTATATTGTATGCATTTACATATTGATATCACATTCTTTTATTTAACAGCAAAAATATTATTACAATAAGTCAAAAAGAATCAATTTCGATGAAACATATTTTTTTTATTTTAAATATTTAATTATATTATATATTTATTTTCTATTATTGTGTTTACAATTATTTATACTTAATTTATACTTAAACTACTGGTAATTTGTTTTATTTCAGTTTCATTTGCATTTTTTTTGGGGGGGGGGGGGTAAATTGGAAATAAAAACAAAAAAATAATTATGAAGGGTTTGTATTTATTTATTTATTTATTTATTTACTTATTTACTCACTTATTTACTTATTCACTTAACTTTTTTTATATTCATCTATTAATTTCATATTGATTAATTGATTTACTTATTTACTTACTCATTTACTTAATTATTTACTTGCTTATTTACTTATTCACATACTTATTTTTATATTTAATTATTAAATTCATATGTATTTATTTACTTATTTACTTACTAATTTACTTGCTTATTTACTTGTTCACTTATTTATATATATATATATATATATATTTATTAATTACATATTTATTTATTTAATTATTAATTTCTTTACTTACTAATTTACTTGCTTATTTACTTAATTACTTGTTTTTTATTTTTATTTATTAAATTCAAATTTATTTATTTACTTATTTATTTACTTATAAGCTATTTATTTACTCATTTACTAACTTTTTACTTACTTTTTTACTTATTTACATATTTTCTTGCTGATCTACTTATTTACATACATATTTTCTTACTTATTAACTTTTTATATATTTATTTAATAATTTATTAAATATTTATTTATGTTTAAATTTATTTATTTAGTTATTTGTTTGAATTTAGCTTTTTGAGTGCTACAGTATACAGTATACATTTTTTTCTAAAAGCAACCCCACGTTTTTGTACAACTGTAAAAAGTATTTTTCTTATGCTTTATGTACTTCTAGCTGGTACAACACAATCTCCACAGATTCGTACAAACTCCACACACAAATTGCCAATGTTCTCCAAACTCTGATTCCCAAAGGATGAGAGATCAGAGTCCAATTAAGAGGGCATTCCTGGCATTCTGGAGGACGGATGAAAAGAGTTAAGCCTTTCCTCCAAACGCAGTTTATTTTCTTTTCTTCTCCCCCTTGATGTTTAATTGGTCTGGGAGCGTTTTGGGCAACTTTCAGCCCAAGCGTGTCTGAAGCGGGACGGAGGAGTTCGAGACCTTCTGCAAGCCAAAGTCAAAGGTCGTTCAGCTAACGAGATTTACAGCGTAACAAGAGCACCTCCAAAATCAACCCAGGACACTCGTGACCCCCAGAAAAACAGGCTGAAGCGATCAGACATCAATCACAGGCTGAGACTTCACACATAAACACCCCGACCAGCAGTCAACAAACGCTACAGTGCTGGAGACACAAAAACTCTGAAGAGATGCTGCTCTTTTTAAAAAAAAATGTTGAACTGGATGTATTTTATTTTTTATGTGGAGTAAAAACATCTGTAACATTCATGTCAGCAGGACTAAATTTAAACAAACAAATTAAGTTTAACATTACTACATTTAGTTTGTTTAAATTTTGTTTAAAGCCACAGCCATATCACCCTGCAGCCCAAGGTTACCTATGAAGCTAAGCAGCGCTGAGCCTGGTCAGTACCTGATGGGAGACCACATGGGAAAGCTAGGTTGCGGTTGGAAGTGTTGTTAGTGAGGTCAGCAGGGGGCGCTCAACCTGTGGTCTGTGTGGGACCTAATGCCCCAGTATAGTGAAGGAGACACTATACTGTCAGTGAGCACCGCCTTTCGGATGGGACGTTAAACTGAGGTCTTGACTTTCTGTGGTCATTAAAAACCCATGGCAGGGGTGTAACAACGGTGTCCTGGCCAAATTACCTACATTGGCCCTTACCGCGATCAAGGCCTCCCAATCATCCCCATCCAGTGAATTGGCTGTATCACTGTCTGCAATATATATACAGTTGAAGTAAGAATTATTAGCCCCCCTGAATTTTTAGACCCCTTGTTTATTTTTTTTCTCGTTTTCTGTTTAAGGATGAGAAGATTTTTTCAGCACATTTCTAGACATAATAGCTTTAATAACTTATATCTAATAACTGATTTATTTTATCTTTGCGATGATGACAGTAAAAAATATTTGACTAGATATTTTTCAAGACACTTCTATACAGCTTGACATTTAAAGACAGTGACATATAAAGGCTGAACTTGGTTAATTAGGTTAACTAGGCAGGTTATTAGGTAATTAGGCAAGTTATTGTATAATGATGGTTTGTTCTGTAGACAGTTGAAAAAAAATAGCTTAAAATGGCTAATAATTTTGTCCTTAAAATGGTGTTTAAAAAATTAAAAACTGCTTTTTTTCTAGCTGAAACAAAACAAATAAAACTTTCTCCAGAAGAAAAAATATTATCAGACATACTGTAATAATTTTCTTCTCTGCTCTGTTAAATATAATTTGGGAAATATTAAGAAAAGAAAAAAAATCAAAGAGTGGCTAATGATTCTGATTTCAACTATATATTTACTTCAAAAAAAAAAAATATATATATATATATATATATTATTTTTTTTTTGGTAATATTATAGTTTGATTAATAATAATAATAGTTGCTTATCTATTTTTTTAAAACTTGTATATATTTTTACACAGTTCTTCAGCGTTTTATTACTATTTAGTTTGATTAGCATGAACAGTTGAAGTCATAATTATTAGCCCTCCTGTAAAAACTTTTTCAAATAGTTCTTAAACGGGATAATAATAATGAATGACCTTCTTAAAATAAAAGCTGCTTTTATTCCAGCCAACCTAAAAGAAAAACAGAATAACAGGAAATACTGTACACATTTTCTTACTCTGTTACACCGTAAAAAAAAAAAAAAAAATGCTAGGTTCCACATAATCCATTTGTGTTGAGACAACATGAAGAAATGAAATTAACCCATTTGTTTTTTTACAAATTTAAGTGAATTGAACATATAACAGTTATGTTGTCCCAAAAGAAACCTCAAAAAGATTTTATATAGTTTGAGAAATATTCATTCATTCATTCATTTTCAAAGGTCGCCACAGCAGAATGAACCATCAACTATTGCAGCATATGTTTTATGCAGCACTACTGCCAATTTAGTTTACCCAATTCACCTGTAGCGCATGTCTTTGGACTGTGGTGGAAACAGGGGCACCCAGAGGAAATGAGGAGAACATGCAAACTCCACACAGAAACACCCACTGCAGCCGGAACTCTAACCAGCGACCTTCTTGCTGTAAGGTGACAGTGTTAACCACTGAGTCACCGTGCCACCCCACTTTCAGAAATATTTGAAAAAGAATGCAAATTTCACAAAAGGCTGAAAAATTTCTCATTCATGATTCCACACAAGTGTTTCTTCAAAAAGTTTCTTCAGCATTTATTGATAAGAAGCTGAAGAAATAAGTTTTTAACTGAAGGTCATCATGACTCCACTGATTATAATAGCTGCAATCTAGTGACCGATACAGAAGCCTCTGAAAGGAATTATATGATTATACGAACACACTTGAGCTCTTCAATGTCAGGAAGGGATTTTTTTTTCCTCAAAATGATCAGCTCCTTTAACCACACTGGAGCTCATGCACTCACCAGTCTTGAAGATCTCGTAGCGCAGGGAGAAACCGGCACCCTGGTGTGCGTAATCAGACACAAACTTGATGTGGATGAAGGGACCGGAGGAGATGATGGCGGGAGGAGCGATGTTACTGCAGTGTTTGCCCAGCAGGTCTGCAGACTCCGAATTCCCATCTCGGATCTCGATGAAGTCATACCTGGAAGCAGGAGACGGAGCAGGTTTATATGCTAATTCTGGATTGGTTTGGTTGGTCGTACTCTAGCATACATTACGAATATCACTATAAACAATATTTAACCGTATTTGCTTTTCCTCAAATATTTACAACACATGGCTATTATGTTTTAACACCTAGCAAGAATGTTTAGCATGTCTTTTAAATAATTTAACATGTTAGTAGCATGTTTAACTTGTTGTTTTTTGGTGTTAGGAAGCTGCTAACATGTTTTAGCAAGTTGATAGCATTGCTAACATGTATAAGTACATTGTTAGTATGGTTTAATGTATTTCTATCATATAAGTGGTATTAGCATGTTGCTAACTTTTTTAGTACACAGACACACACATATGTGTATATGTGGTTTACGGGGACTCATTAACATTCCTCAGGCCTACATGTTTTTGCATTTTGTTAGTGTTATTAGCATGTTTGATCACATGGCTATTGTGTTTTAACACTTACCAAGCATGTTTATCATGTCTTTAAAGCCATTTAACATGTTAGTAGCATGTTTGGCTCACAGTTTTAGATATAGAAAGGTGCAAACATGTTTTGGCAGGTTAATCGCATTGCAAGCATGTATAGGCACATTGTTAGTATGTTTTAATATATTTCTATCACATTAGGAGTGGCATTAGCATGTTGCTAACTTGTTTTAGAATACAGACACACACATACTCGTATATGTGGTTTACAGGGACTCTCCATTGGCATCCCTAGTAAAAAAAACAGCTTGAACCAGCCTAGGCTGGTTGGTTTGTTTTAGTTGGTTGACCAGGCTGGTTTTAGAGGGGTTTTGGCCATTTCCAGGCTGGTTTCCATCCATTTCCAACGAGGTCTTAGCTGGTCAGGCTGGGAGATGACCAGCTAAGACCAGCTTGACCAGCCTAGCCACGCTGGGAGCACAGCCAAAACCAGCTATGTCCAGCTTAAACCAGGCTGGTCAATCAGGTTTTAGCTGGATTTAGCTTGTCATTTTCCAGCCTGACCAGCTAAGACCAGGCTGGAAAATGGCTGAAAACCAGCCTGGAAATGTAAAAACCATGCTGGTCAACCAGCTAAAACCAGCCAACCAGCCTAGGCAGGTTTAAGCTGGATTTTTCAGTAGGGATTACATACAGCTTAACAATTTCTGCATACTGTAAGAGTGCTTTCGTATGTTTTAGCAGGTTTTAGCACATTGTCGCCATGTTTTAGCGTGTTGCTAGCTTGCTGGAGCACATTAACATTCCTTGGCCTACATGTTTTTGCACTTTGTTATAATGTTATTAGCATGTTGTTTTAACACATGGATAACACTTAGCAAGCATGTTTATCATGTCTTTTTAAATCAGTTAACATATTAGTAGTGTGTTTAGCTCACTGTTTTTGAAGTTAGCAAGCAGCGAGTTAATAGCATTGCAAAAATGTATAAGTACATTATTAGTATGGTTTAATATATTTCCGATCATATTAAGAGTGATGTTAGCATGTTGCTATTCAATGCAGCTTTAGTGCTTTCGTGTGTTTCTGGTTTTAGCACATTGCTACAATGAGTTAGCATGGTTTTTACATCTCTGTCATATAAATAGTAGTGTTAGCATGTTGCTAGCTTGCATATGAGGTTTACGTGGACTCCACAGGCATGATGTATTTTATACTATTGAAGCAATGCTTTATAGTTCCAGCATAATTTAGCACACTGTCAGAGGGCTTTGGAGTGTTTTAGCTGGCTATAGCACATTACTACAATGTGTTAGCATGTTGCAAACTTCTAGCATATTACCATTCCTTAGGCCTTCATATTTTTGCACTTTGTTACAATGTTATTAACCTGTTTTAACACGTTTTTAACACTTAGCATGGTTTAATACATGTCTTTCATATAAGAGTGGTGTTACGCTATAGGAGTGTTGTCGCTAGCTTGCATATGTGGTTTACGGGTACTCTCCAGAGGCATAATGTATTTTATAAAGTAAAAAAAAAACACTTAATATATTAACTTACCCTACCCCTATCCCTAAACCTCCTCGCAGACATCCTGTGGCTTTTTTTTTTCAAAACACTTGATTGAGTATGATATTTAAGCATTTTGAATTATGAGGACACAAAGCACATCTTCAAAAACCACCTTATCACTGTCATACCAACAGCATACCCATGTAATAGAAGAAATCCATGTCCTCATAAACCACATAAACTAGCACACACCCACACACAACTAACATATAAGGGATGGGAACCTATTTATTCAACAGTAATCACATCTTGTTAAACTATTTGTACATACTGTAACTCAGATTGCCACTTAAAGCAATAAAACAGTGTCCTATCAGCAGTGAAAATGTCCTTCTGGGAAGCCGTACATTGAGAAGGCAAGGAAGTGCAATGCAATATCTTGTAAGGAACGCTGAAGCCTGACCTCCGACCCTCAGCCGACTGCTGCCTTATCACAACAAACACACAGTTTTCATGTCACTTCAGAGACAATGACCACCTGTCCGGCCAAAATAATCCCTTAATGTGCCTTGTCCTCTTTTCGCCAAAGCACTTCACACACAATGTCTAAATGAGGCGAAAGACTCCAAAAAATCCAGCCGGCTGTCTGCATGAGTGCTTCCTTATAATAAATCTGGCCATAGAGAGGCATGAGTCAGGCTTCTTCTCACACCTCAGGAATGCTTGCCCCATTTAACCCCTAAACAAGAACAAGATCCCTGTAAACACACAAGACCACACCATCCTCTGCCCTGACGCATTCAATCTGCGCAGCTTTAAAACTGATTCAGAGTCAGGCGTCAGAAGAGTTTCTTCGCAGTACAGTACACTTGGTTTTAAGTCAGAGTTATACACTTAAGATATGAGAGAAGATGATTTACCGGATACATAAATACATGATTGTTCAGAAATAATAAAATTTAGTATTCAGTGAAAATTATTGATAAAAATATCCGTGAATTAGCAGTTTTCCTTTTTTTTATATGAAGTTTTTATTGCCCAACCCAGGCTCATTCTGAAAATGTACCACTATATACATTTCTGGAGAGTGCCAAATATGTCCCAGGAGCTACATTTTTTTTTTGCAGTTTTTGTTTTCACGAATCCACCAGAGGCTGCTGCTTTTAAATCTTAAATTTCTCTCGCGAGTGCCATTCGAGCCTGCTGTTCCTTCCCTAAACCCAACCAATAGTGTTTTCAAGAGCACAGATTGACCTGCCCACTCACTTTCCTAAACACAGCCAATAGTTTAAAAAGCAATGCAGAAAAAGAAAAGCCCTCGCTTGATTTTTACCACGTTTTCAAATTTTTACCACATTCTCACCCTGTTATTTACTTGTTTGTTTTAATTTTGGGCTTTTATTTTTGTCTTGCCTGCTTTTTGAAACTGTTAGTTGCTGCACTCCAGTCCCATCTTCGTGGTCAACTCCTCTCTGCTTCTCAAGTCGACTGATGTACATGGTGAGCTAACTGGACAAACTGGTAATATCTGTAAAAGCCATCCAACAGGAGGTAAGCGGTTGGCTAGTAGGTGCGAAAAGAAACGGCGTCATACCACCCCGTAACGTTCGTTTTAATGACGAAATGCAGCCATGTATGGATGTTTCCCAGTAATGGGTTGCAGCTAGAAGTGGATCCACTGCGTAAAACATATGCTGGATAAGTTGGTGATTCATTCCACTGTAGCAACCCCAGATCAATAAAGGGACTAAGCCGAAGAAAAATTAATGAATGAGTTTATCTGATTTGATTTTTTAAATTTATTTATTTATTTATTTATTTATTTATTTATTTATTTATTTATTTATTTATTTATTTATTTATTTATATTTTTTATTTTTATTTTTATTTTTATTTTTATTTTTATTTTTATTTTTATTTTATTTATTTGTTTGTTTATTTATTTATTATTTGTTTTTATTTATTTATTTGTATTTAATTAATTTGTTTGTTTATTTTTTAATTAGTTTATTTATTTATTTACTTATTTATTTTTATTTATCTGTTTATTTATTTCTTATTTGTTTATTCATTTATTTATAATCAATTATTTAATTAATTAACTTGTTTTTTAATTTTTTATACTTAGTTTATTTATTTATTTATTTATTATTTTAGATTTTTAGAACACTGCTAAATAAGGAAAAATGGATAAATAATATTATTATATGTTGTCTACATCTACAATAGTTTTGTTACTAAACGAACACAAGAGACACTATTTACCGAGATACTGTACGAGCCAATCTAACATTATTTAGCACAAAATATACAAAAGGAAACATGTTTTTTATCCGTTTTAGTGTGTGATCTATGCACAACCACCATCTATGCATTATGAAAATAGAATGTCAAAAACACACCAGTGTCTGTGATGTTGAGCATGTCTGATCTCTCCCTATACACAACCGAACGAAGACGTGACATTTAGCAGTTTTTAACCTTTTCTCATCAGCCGGCACTGAATTATCTCTGGTTGAGCTGCATAACTGCTGGCTCCACGTCACTCATGCGCGTGTGTGTGCGTCTGTGTGTGTGTGTGTAAACCTGACACGGCCCCGGGCCCCTCAGAATGACATAGAGAGGCAGGTGTGTGTGACTCTTCATTGCTCTGGACCCCCAGTCGACCGCACACTTAGAGGCTTCAGGTACAGTCGTGTATATTTAGACCTGAGGCGTCTCAGCACACATACACCCTTACTAAATAACACACACATACTGTACAGCATCTGAAATCCGAAAAGCGAAATCTTTCTAAAGCAAAAGAAATTAATTACTGTAGCAAAACCTATGAGAGATGCTGATTAAATTGCTTATACTGTGTGTCGTATGTTTTGATGACACACATTTTGTATTCGTTTTGTACATATTCAGACAATATATATTACATATGGGTTGCACGGTGGCGCAGTGGATAGCACGTTCACAGCAAGAAGGTCGCTGGATCAAGCCTCAGCTGGGTCAGTTGGCATTTCTGTGTGGAGTTTGCATGTTCTCTC